AAAGCAATACTATAACAAAATGAGAAGTTTAAAAAAGAGATAGATAAAGAAGGTCATTATATAATGTTAAAGGGGTCAACTAATGAAGAGGATATAACGTTGTAAATATACATGCAGCCATCATCAAAGCAACTACTTGTATGAAGTAAATTTAAATAGATCTGAAGGGAGAAAGAGACAACAATACTGTTAGGGCACTTCAGACCCCAGTTTAAACAGTAGATGGCAACCAGTAGGAGAACCTTACGCTTAAAATACACTTTAGAACAAATGGACCTAAGAGACATATACAGAACGTTCCACACAACAGCAACGGAATACACATTCTTCTCAAGTGTGTACGGAAAATTCTCTGGGTTAGATAATATGTTAGTTCACAAAACAAGTTTTAACAGATTTTAAAATTTTGTAACCATGTCAAGCATTTTTTCCAACCACAATGGTTTCAAATTAGAAGTAGATAGCAGGAAGAAAACTGAAAAATTCTGAAATATGTGGAGATTAAACAATACCCTCTTGAACAACCAGTGGGTCAAAGAGGAAGACAAATGGGTAATTAAAAATATTTTGAGATAAATGAAAATGGAAACATAACATATGAAAACGTAAATGATGAAGCAAAAAGCAATTATTGGAAGGAAATGTGTAATGATAAATGCCTAAATAAATGAAAAAAGAAAGTTTGCAAATAAACATCCTAACTTTATTCTTCAAAAAAACTAGAAAAAGAACTAGGCCCAAAATCAGTAGGAGGAAGGAAATAATAGAGCATAAATAAATGAAATAGATCAATTACTAACTGTCCTGATTTGATCATCACATATTGTACTGATAGTCAACTCTGTACCTTGCAAATATATATAATCAATTATGTTTCAATAAAAAAATAAATGAAATATAGAGTAGAACAATGATGTAATAGGTCAACAAAAGTAAGTGTTTTTTATAAAAAAAGATAAAATTGACAAACCTTTAGCTGGATTAACTAGGAAGAAAAGACTCAAATAAATAATATCAGAAATAAAAAAGGTGACATTACAGCTGACACTTGCAAGTAAAATGATCATAAGAGATTGTTGTGAACAATTATATACCAACAAATTTGACAAATTAGAAGAAATGGATAACATTCCAACATACAGTCTACCAAGACTAAATTATGAAGAAATATAAAATCTGTACAGACCAATAACAAGGAAAAAATCAGTAATCGAATACTCCTGATAAAGTAAAGTCCAGGATCAGATGTCTTTGCTGGTGAATTCTACCACACATTTAAAAAAGAATTAATACCAGTTCTTTTCAGAATTCTCCAAAAAATTAAAAAGGAAAGAACACTTCCAAAGTTATTTTATGAGACAAGCAACATTATTCTGATAACTAGGCCAGACCAGGATACTACAAGAAAAACAGTTATGGGCCAATATTTGTGATGGACAAACAGATACAAAAGTTCTCAAGAAAATGCTACCAAATTTAACAGCACATTAAAGAGATTATACATCCCAGTCAAGTAGAGTTTATTTCTGAGATTCAAGAATGTTTAACATATGCAAATCAGTAAATGTGTGTACCACATTAACAGTATGAAGGATGAAAATATATTATTCTCTAAGTAGATGCATAAAAAGATTTGGATAAGATTTAATATCCTTAATAAAAATCCTCAACAAATTAACAATAGAAGGAATGTACTTTATTGTACTCAAAACAATAAAGGCCATATATGCGAAGCTCACAGCTAACATCATACTCAATATTAAAAAGATGAAAGCTTTTTCTGTGAGATCAGGAAAAACACAGGAGTGCCCACTCTTACCACTTCTGTTTAACATTGCAGTGAAAGTGCTGGCTGGAATTATTAGAAAAAATAAAAAGGAATAAATTGCCTCCAAATTTGAAGTGAAGAAGTAAAATTATCTCTGTTTTCATATGACGTAATTTTAAACATACCAAATCCTAAATATTATACATAAAAACTGTTAGAAAGAAATGAATTCAGTAAAGTTGTAGCATACAAAATCAGCATAAAGCAAAATTGGTTGTGTTTTTATACACTACAGTGGATTGAATTATGTCCCCCCCCAAACTCACTGAGGCTTGAATTGTGTCCCCAAGTTTTATGTATTAGAAACTGGCCCCCACTGTGACTGTTAAGAAGCTGGGAAATCCTATTATGGTCATTGAAAGGTGGAGCTTGAAGAGGTGATTAGATTGTAGGACTGTGCAGTAGTGACAGGATTAGAAATGGTGGTCAGGGGCGTGGTTCTGGGGGTTTTAAAAGAAGAGGAGAGTCTGCCTTTCTCTCTCTCTGCTCTCTCTGCTTCCACCATCTTGCAATGTGAGGCCCCTGGGTCACTGTTGCCACCACCAGATGGACATTGGACTTCCCAGCCTCAGAAACTAACATTAAATTTTGTTTTCTTTCCAAATTACCCAGTTCCGGGTATTTTGTTATAAGCAACAGAAATGGACTAATACATACACTAACAATAAACTATCTGAAATCAGCCTCAGAAACTGTAACATTAAATTTTGTTTTCTTTCCAAATTACCCAGTTCCAGGTATTTTGTTATAAGCAACAGAAATGGACTAATACATACACTAACAATAAACTATCTGAAAAAGAAATTAAGAAGACAGCCATTTACAAGAGCATCAAAAAATAGTAAAACATTTAGGAATAAATTTAACTAAGAAGGTGAGAGATACTGATAGTCAACTCTGTACCCTGCAAATATGTATAACCAATTATGTTTCAGTAAAAAATAAATGAGAGAGTAGAATAACTAGTAGTACACTGAAAACTTTAAAATGTAAATTGTTAAATGAAGTTAAAGATATAAACAAATGGAAGGATACTCCTTATTTATGGATTGGATGAAACAATATTATTAAAATGTTCATACCATCCAAAGTGATTTAAAGATTCAAAATTTCAATGGCATTTTTTACAGAAACAGAAAAACGAAACTAAAATTTTTTTATGAAAACACAAAAACTGTAAGTAGCTAAAGCACTCCTGAAAAAAAATCTGAAAGCATCACACTTCTTGAATTTAAATTATATTTAAATAAAATTACTACATCATGAAGATATCTGCACTCCCATGTTTATTGAAGCATTATTCACAGTAGCCAAGATATAAAAACAACCAAAGTATGTACTGGCAGGTGAATGGATAGAGAAATGGTGGTGTACAGGTACAATGCAATATTTTTCAGCTGTGAAAACAGAGATTCTTCCACTTGTGACAACTTGGATAAAACTAGAGGACATTATGCTGAGTGACATAATCCAGACACAGAAAGGAAAATGCTGTGTCATCTCACCTATGCATGCAATCTGAAAAAAAATTCTGTAGATAGGAACAAGAAGAAAAACAGTGATTATCAGGGGCTCAACGGAGAGAGAAGAATGGACGGGGTGATGGAGAGATGTAGATCAGAGGGTGCAGAGCTGTAGTTACATGGGAGGAATATGTCTAAGAGGTCCAATGTACAATCTGAGAACCACAGTTAATAATATTATGTTGGATACTAGTAATTTGCCAAGAGAATACATTTTAGATACTCCTACCACCAAAAAAATAGAGATTAGAAAAAGTATCGTATTAGGATGATGCATCTGTTAATTTGCTTGACTATAGTAATAACTTCACCAGCTATATGTATATTAAGTATATTAAACATCATGTACACCTTAAATATACACAAGAAAAATACATTATATTACACAGTTATCATAATCAAAATGGTATGGTGTTCATCAACTAGTGAATTGATTAAAAAGTGTAGATAGATATATAGATAGACAGACAGACAATGAAACATTATTCAGCTTACAAAACAAGGAAAGGACATCCTTCCATCTGCCATTGTGACAACACAGATGTATCTGGAGAACATTGCATTGAGTGAAACAAGCCAGAAGCAAAAAGAGAAATGCTACATGATCTCACTTATGTGTGATATCAAAATAAAACAAACAAAGTCAAATGCATAGTAACAGAAAGTGCCTGGAGGGGTGAGTGAAATGGGAAGATGTAGGTCAAAGGGTACAAATTTTAGTTATAAGATAAATAACTTTGAGAGAGCTAATGTACAGCATGGCGACTATAGTTAATAATAATGTACTGTTTTACTTGAAATTTGCTAAGAAGATAGATCTCAAGTGTTCTTACTTTGTGAGGTGATAGTTATAATCATTTCACAACGGATGTGGATGTCCAAACGACATGTTATACATCTTATGTACACCTTAAATATATACAAACTTTGCCAGGCATATCTCAATAAAGTTAGAAAAAATAAAGTAAATGTCATAAAAAGAAGCACTTCTAGAGATAAAAGGGACATTAATGCAGAGATCAATTGATTGTGAAGATATCAACACACTAAATCTTTTTATAACATCATACTAAATCTGTTGTCAGTAGCACCAAGACTCCATTAATGGATGGGCTTTTAATTAAATGCGTACTGTCCCAGAAAGTCGTGACTCTGTATGAGGTGACCCTCTTTAGCTGAGGTAATTCTTAAAGAAGTCAGGTACATGAGAACTCTCTCTGGGTCGTATTTCTGGCAGCTGTGAGGGTAATTCCTTCACTCACAACAGGAAATCTGTGTTGTTGTGATTTTCAGTTTATGTGTACTGGAAACTGCAAAGTAGAAAAAATAACAAAATTCAAAATTTTTCAATGATTACTCAGCATTTTTAGATGTAATCTTTATTTTAAATTCAAATCTCATTATAATACCTAATAAATGCCAAACTAATGCTCTTAGTTTGGAAATGATTAGAATCAATCTTATTTAATTGTCATAATTAATCATTATTAATTATGGGTAATTCTGTCATACATTCCAACTTTGACACATGCAGGATATAATCTATGTTAATATGATAGAGTATATACATTTTTAAAAATTATGGTTTTTTACTTTTTTAAAATTTAGAACTTCTAACAATTATTTTTTCTCTGATTACTTTGCTACAGGTCACTTATTTAATCAAAATTGAGGGGAAAACATATTCTCTCCTACTCACAAAACAGTAAGTGACTACTTTTTTTAATATAGCTGTTTTTGGTGTCTTACATTTTTACAGTCACTACCATAAACTGAGCTTAACCAAGGCATCCATGTTATATATGTTTAACATTTTATACATTCTTTGTTATTTGTGTTAGACTTAAGTTTCAGCTCTTCATTTTGAAATTTTAAATCTAATAGTCTAGCAAAATTCTAATTTAATGATGCAAATATTAATGTATGTCTGATAAATAAAAATTACTCTACATTATAGCTTATGTAACAAGTGCAGCAATTAAGGGTACACTTTTTATTTGTCCATGTTTAATTTTTTTAATATGCTTGTGTCATTTTACATATTTATATGATTTTTTTTTCCTTTTTGTCTTTTTTACTGACTGGTAACGGGATCGCAACCCTCGCATGTGTCATTTTACATATTTATATGATTTTTTTTTTCCTTTTTGTCTTTTTTACTGACTGGTAACGGGATCGCAACCCTCGGTGTTGCACCTGTACCGGGGACTGGCAATGGGATCGCAACCCTCGGTGCTGCGCCCGCACCGTGCTCAGCCATTGAGCGGGAACCGGTCT